GGGGGGGGGGGGGGGGGCAGAGACTGCGCAGCCGCCGCTGCGTCTGCCACGTGCCCTTCCCAGCCTGCCAGCCACATGCCGCCCCCGCATCCGCATCCGGCCCACGCGCCTGCCACGCCGCGGCCGCAGGAGGGCACCACGCGGCGCATGCTGCAGCACTGCGGCATACGCTGGGAGCCAGGGGTGCTTCAGTTCCACAAGACGAGGCGCACTGTGGCCACTGCCAGCCTGGCGCAGGTAGGCGGCGCGGGCTGGGGTGCAGCAGCCGGCTCTGGGGTCTGGGTCGCTGGCGCATGTCGGGACGGCAGTGGGCCGGGCAGAGCGAGGGCGCTGGTTGGTTGGCCCCGCCTCGCGCGCTTGCGGCACCGGCTTCGGCGGCCCCATGCCTCCCTCATCGCCTCTCGCTGCCTGCCCGCCCGCCTCCCAGCCCCCCGTCGGCCTGCCTGCGCTTCCCCTGTCACCTGCAGGTACGGCAGAAGCTGTACGGCAGCAGCGTGCTGCGGTACAGGCAGTACGCCCGCCACCTGGCGCCCATGCTGCGCCCGATGCGCCCCCTCATCCTGCGGTACGAGCGGGACGCCGGCCTGGAGTCCTCGGAGCATTTGCTGGCGCAGGTGCTGGATGGGGCCGCGGAGGGCAGGGAGGAGCTCTAGCCAGCTTATAGCATCCCCGCTTCTGCCTCTTAGATCATTCCTGCCAGGGGCTCACACGTGATGGGTCCCATGCCACTGCGTGCCAGCCCACCCACCATCCCGCCTCGCACCCTCCACACCTTGCTCCACCAGTGCCGGAGCCTGCACCACACCAATGCCTTCCCGCCTCTGCTGCGATCCGAGAGGTTACAGTGTTGAGGCGGGGCTTTGGCATGTGAGAAACTTGAGGGGAGGTTTCTAACCAACAGCGCATGCGCGCAGAAGCCGTTCAAGGGGAAGGGGATATAGCGCTGGAACGAAATGGGGAGGCCAACAGTAGCGGTGCTGGCAGCGGCAGTGTGGGAGGGCAGTACGAGAGGCTAGCTGACGGGTACTTCAGCACTGGTTGCTAGGGAGGTCGGGGAGGCTGCAGTGGGAAGAAGGGAATGGGGAAGAGGCCTAGAGCCAAGAGGGTTGGTGTCATGCCGGGCGGGCAGTGTTTCTTTCCAGGAAACGGCGCAATGCTGGGCATTTGAGAGGAGGTGTGCTTTGGGCGTGCGTGGGGGTCTTCGGTGGGTGGGGAGCGATACGAATCTAATCTGGCCTGATGCGGACAGGGTTTGTGGAAAGGTAGGCACGAATCAGGGGCAAGGGAAGAAAGCCAAAAGACGGGGCACCAAAAGAGGCGGGGATACGTATCGTGGGGGCATCATTCATTTCATGGGGGGCGGGTGCCTGGCAAGGGCTGCGGCCACCGCTGCAGCAGGCTGCTGCACGGCTGGGTTCTAAGGCGCTCACACCAGCGCGGGGACAGGCACCGGCATCGGGAGCACCGCGGGGCGCGCCAGCGGCGCCAGCTTGGGCGCGGCAGGCGCCACGCGCGTGGGCAGGCAGAAGCTGCCGCCGCCCAGGCTGGCGCTGCTGCTGCCGCCGGCGTCGCCCAGGCTGCTGCTGCTGCTGCCGCCGGCGTCGCCCAGGCTGCTGCTGCTGCTGCTGCTGCTGCTGCTGCTGCCGCTGCTGGCGGCGGCGACCGCGGCCTCAACGGCGCCGCCTGCCTCGCCGCCCTCCGCTGGGCCCGCGACATCGAAGTGGCGCAGCATGAAGCGGCGGGTGCCCTCCACCGCCGCCCAGTAGACCATGCAGGAGGGCACGTTTTGGAGGAGGCGGGGCGCGACGCCGGTGAACAGCGCCTGCAGGCCGCCGGCCGCCGCCAGCTGGCGCCCCGTCTGCACAAAGGCGCGGGCGGAGCAGGCGAGGCCGGAGGGGCCGCCGGGGCAGGCGGGGGGCGACAGGTCCATCCGCGTCTTGATCACATCACAGGGCATGCTGACCAGCACACTCGCCACGCCCGCGGCGGCGCCTGCGGCAGCGGGGCGCAGCGGCAGGAGGGAGGTCAGGGGCTTGCTGAGGGCAGCAGGTAGGTGTGCTGTGGTGGGGCGTGGATGGAGGCGGCTGCTGCTTGAAGGCAGCGCCGAGGAGCGGCGCCGAAGAGCGGCGCGGGCTGGCGCCAGGGCCTAGCCGGCTGCCCCGCGGCACCCCACAGGGAGAAGGGCCCCGTCCCGCAGCCACACCCCTCACCTATCAGCATGTCTCCTGTGCTCGCCGGCATGGCAGCCAGCGCGCCGCCCACCCGCTCCTGCCACCCGGCCGGCGCCTGGTGCGAGGGCACGCCTGCCGAGCCGCTTTCTTGCTGCTGCTGCTGCTGCTGCTGCGAGGCGGCCCGGGCTGCCGCTGCCGCGCGCCAGTCGCACATCTGGCTGTAGGTTGCCAGCTCAGCCACGTCGTAGGGTATACTCTTGAGCATGAAGGCGGCGTAGGTGGCGTAGAGGCCGCCCAGGCCGCGGGAGGAGGCCTCTGCCAGCATGGCGGCCAGCATGGGGCCCTGCAGCGCGCCGGCCTGCGGGGGGTGCGGGGCCAGGGGGCAGGGGTGGCGCGCGCGGGTGTGGGGCGGAGAAGACAGTGGTTTCCAGAGGCAAGCGGGTGCGCCGCCGGCACGCAGGAGGCGGGCTCACGACGGCCACGCCCCACCCCGCCGATGCCGGCAAGCACGCCCCGCCACCCTATCCACAAATCATCCATCCACATGTATCCATAAAAGGCTTCCTGGCACCGCCACCAGGCTCCCACCTGCGTGCGCAGCTTGAACATCTCCATGGGGGCCTCGAACACCGAACCCGCCAGCGACGCGGCCACGCCCGCCAGCGTCGCCACCAGAGGGCTCAGCGGCGGCTGCACGGCGGCGCTGTTGTCGCCCGGCCGGGCGGCGGCGACGGCGGCACCGCGCGCGCCGCCAGGCTGCTGCCACCCCGCCACCGACTGCTGCTGCTGCCGCGCGGCCATGGCTGCTGCGCCCAGCCGCTTGGCTGAGTAGAAGGCCAGGAGGTAGATGGCGCCGATGGCGGCGGAGCAGACGGCGGCGGTGCCGCAGCCGGCGTACAGCTGGCGCGCGGCGCGGGCGCTGCACCCCAGCGCGCGCAGCTCTCCCACCACCACCGCCGCGCTGGTGCCGCGCGCCTGGCACAGCACCTGCGGGGGACCAGGCGGGAGGGGAGGGGAGGGGAGGCGGGGTTGGCAGGAGCGGGCGAGCGCGGCACGCCGGCACGGCAACTAGGTGGCTGGGCAGGAACGTCCGCATGCGCCGTCTGCTCCCTCGCAGTGCGGTGAATGCGGACATCAAGCACAGGCGCGACAGGCACGCGGCGGGCCGGCAGCCGGCGGCAGCAGGCGGCCAGGCGCGCGGGAAGTGGCGGGCAGGCCGGGCACAGCGCCCTGCCTTGAGGCTGTCTAGAGGGTACAGCACAACTAGGGAGGCGATCTCTCCTATGGCGCCAGACAGCGCATCCACGGCCAGCCAGCTGACCCTGGGCTTCCTGCGGGGCCACAGGGCGCAGATGGCAGGTGCTGGCGAGCGGGGTGAGGCTGGGATGCGCGCGCGGCGGCGGCGGCGACGGGGCGCCTGCCCGGAAGCAGCCGCGCGCCCACGGCCCCCGGCTGCCTGCCAGAAACGGCGACGGGCTGCTCGGGGTCGGGTTTGGTTGGCAGGCGGAGGCCGGGCAGGGATCTGGAGCAAAGTGGCGCCAGGCAGTGGCGCGGCGGCGGCGGGCATGGGCGACGGTCCCAAGGCACCAGAGCCGCCCGTCCCCCCGCCCACCTGCGCGCGCCATCGCGTTGTCTAACAGCTCCTAGGCTGGGTGGGCGGTGCTGCTGCTGCTGCCACAGGGAGTAAGCCCCACAGGCCGCCGCAGTGGCGACCAGCGCTCGGGCTCGGCCCCTGCCACGCGCGCCCGTTTGGGCTGGTGCTCCGACGGGTTGCCGGAGCAACAGCGACGTTTTTGCTATGTGCATGGCACCAATGCCTGTTGTCGCTGTTATCCTCTCAGCGTTTTCGCGGCCAACAAACGATAAGAATGCGTCATGAGCGTGGGGTACACTGCACAATACGGATTTGTCGCGGGGTGAGGCGCATTTGTGGCACAGCTTGCCTCATCCGCCGCCGCCAGCCGGGCACGCTGGGCCGCCAGGCAGGCAATCTGTTGTACGCCGAGCATTCCTCCAAATGTTTAGCCACCAGGCACAACCCAGGTACTACGTATCCCACATTGAACAGGTTGGAGTCCTTGGCTTGTTGGCAGGAAACTTTGCGGAGGGGACGAGCGTAGCGCGGCGAGTGACCGCCTTGCCGCTGCCGCCAGCAGGAAAGGGACCTTCCTCAGCCCCAGTCCCTCTCCCGGCCATGATACCAAGCAGGTCGATATAGAGCAAGGCGGGCATGCCGTTGGAAGACACAACTCTTAGAAGCTAGGCGTTTAAACTCCACTTGGCATGCCCCACCCGCCGTACCGCACAACGGCGGGCACAAACCAGCATGGCTGTGCATCCTTGGCTGCTGGCCGCGAGGGACCGGGATGCAGCTAGGCAGCGAGGGAGCCGCACAGCTAAAGCTAGGAAAGCACAACTCCTGCCATACGCCCCACCTTTGCGCGGCTTCGCGTACAAGCGGTTGTGTCCGCTCATGCCGCGGCGGCGGCAGGGGTTGGTGGGATTGTCTCGGGCTTGTCTGCGTGTCTCCGCTGCCGCCACCTCGTGATTGGCTGCATGTGCCTCGTTCCCAGCCGGGCGGATCGCCTGCGATTGGTTGGAGGCTAGGGCCCAGCAGTGCAGTACACATGCGTCTTTTTCTGTCGGTCTGGCCTCCAGGCGCTGTGTTCTGGCGGGCAGCAGCCCCCCGCTGTTGCTCACCGCCTCTGTGCGGGCCCAGCCCCCGTTTCCTGGCTCTCCGCCAACAGCTTCCCCTTGTGCCTCCGCCCCTATCTCCCTGCAACCCACCTGCCGCGGTGCCCACCGCACCTGATCACCGCCTCCAAGGCTCTGCCGGG